AACACCCCAAAACCCAAAAAACACCCCAAAAACACCCAAAAATGAAAAAAACACCCCAAAAACCATCCCAAAAACAACCAAAAACACCCAAAACCACCCCAAAACACCCTAAAAACACCCCAAAACACCCAAAAAACCAAAAAAACACCCCAAAAACCATCCCAAGAACACCCAAAAAATCCCCAAAAAATCTTTCCCAAAATCCCTCAAAAATCCCCAAAAAATCTTTCAAAAATCCCCAAAATATCCTTAAAAAACCCTTAAAAAATCCCAAAAAAGCCCTAAAAAATCCTTTAAAAATACCCAAAAAATACCCAAAAATTCCGAAAAAATCTGTTTAAAATCCCCAAAATATCCTTAAAAAATCTCCAAAAAAATCCATTAAAAATCCATTAAAAAACTCCCTAAAAATCAAAAAAATACCCCCAAAATAGCCTTAAAAAATCCTTAAAAAATCCCCCAAATATCCTTAAAAATCCCAAAAAATTCCGTAAAAAAATCTTCTAAACATCCTTAAAAAATCCCTAAAAAACCCTCAAAAAACCCAAAAAAAACTTTTAAAAAATCCTTAAAAATCCCTAAAAATCCTTAAAAAATCTCAATAAAATCCTTAAAAAAATCCCTAAAAAATCCCAAAAAAAATCCCTAAAAAATCCTTTAAAAATCAAAAAAAATCCTTAAAAAGTCCCTAAAAAATCCCAAAAAAATCTCCAAAATATCCTTAAAAAAATCCTTAAAAACCTCCTAAAAAATCCTTAAAAAATCCAAAAAAATCCTTTAAAAATCCTCCCAAAAAATCCTTAAAAAAACCCTAAAAAAATCCTTTAAAAATCCTTAAAAACCTCCTAAAAAATCCTTAAAAAATCCCAAAAAAATCCTTAAAAAATCCTTAAAAAATCCCCCAAAAATCCCTAAAAAATTCTTAAAAATCTTTAAAAAATCCCCAAAAAATCCTTAAAAATCCTTTAAAAATCCTTAAAAAATAAAAAAAAATTATTTAAAAATCCCTAAAAAATCAAAAAAAATCCCCAAAATATTCTTAAAAAAATCTTTAGAAATCCTTTAAAACCCCCCCAAAAATTCCTTAAAAATCCCTAAAAAAACCTTAAAAAATCCTTAAAAAATCCCTAAAAACCTCCAAAAAAATCCAAAAAAAAATCCAAAAAAATCCCCAAAATTCCCCCAAAATGCCCAAATTCCCCAAATTTCCCCCAGATTTCCCCAAAGCCTCACCAGGCAGTGCTCCTTGCCGTGGTTGAGCCAGTGGCCGGTGCGTCCCGTGCGGATGATTCGCTGCAGCTGATTCGTCTTCACCCAGATGATCTCGTCCACGCGCTCGTACCTGTGCCCAGCAGCGGCCCCGCACAGCGGGGATTTGGGGGCATTGGGGGGAGCTTGAAAGGGATTTTTGGGGGTTTTTTTTAAGGGGTTTTTAGGGGATTTTTTAGGATTTTTTTAGGGAATTTTTAGGGATTTTTGGGGGGATTTTTTGGGAATTTTCTTTGGATTTTTAAATGATTTTTTGGGATTTTTTAAGGATTTTTTGAGATTTTTTGGGGGGTTTTTTAGGGATTTTTTTTGGATTTTTTGGGGATTTTTAAATGATTTTTTGGGGATTTTTTGAGATTTTTTGGGGGGTTTTTTAGAGATTTTTTTTGGATTTTTTGGGATTTAGGGATTTTTTGGGGATTTTTTGGGGATCTTTAAATGATTTTTTGGGGATTTTTTGAGATTTTTGGAGGGGTTTTTTAGGGATTTTTTTGGATTTTTTAGGGATTTTTTGGGGATTTTTTTTGATTTTTTAGGGATTTTTTTGGGGATTTTTTGGGGTTTTTTAAGGATTTTTTTGAGATTTTTTTGGTATTTTTTAAGGATTGGGGGGAGATTTTTGGGATTTTTTTTGGGAATTTTTAGGGAATTTTTAATGATTTTTTGAGATTTATTTTGGATTTTTTAAGGATTTTTTTTATGTTTTTAAGGATTTTTTGGGGATTTTTTAAGGTTTATTTAGGGATTTTTTAAGGATTTTGGGGGGATTTTTTGGGATTTTTTTGGGGAATTTTTCGGGATTTTTTAAGGATTTTTTGGAGATTTTTTGGTGTTTTTTAAGGTTTTTTGGGGGATTTTTAAAGGATTTTTGGGGGGATTTTTTTGAGATTTTCTGGGATTTTTAAAGCAATTTTTTGGTTTTTTTTTTAAGATTTTTTTGCAGATTTTTGATGATTTTTTTAAGGGATTTTTAAGGGTTTTTAGGAAGATTTTAGGAGATTTTTAAAGGATTTTGGGGGGGATTCTTCTTTGGATTTAAAGGGATTTTAAAAGAATTTTTGGGTTTTTTTTTGAGGTTTTTAGTAATTTTTAAAGATTTTTTTAGATTTATTTTTGGGGATTTTGAGCAGATTTTTGGGGGGATTTTTTGGGTAATTTTAGGAATCTTTGGGATTTTTTTTAAGGCATTTTTTTTTTAAAGATTTTGGGTTTTTTTTTAAAAAAAGATTTTGGAATTTTTTTTAAAGGATGTTGGGATTTTTAAGGATTTTTTGGGGTGAAAAGCCCAAAACTCACCCCCAGAGATTGAGGCACTCACGGCCCAGCTCCATGGCCCTGGAAAAACGAGAAATTTTGGGGTGAAAACAGCGGAATTTGGGACAAAACGGGATTTTGGGTGGGAAAAGGGGGATTTTGGGGGGGAGAGGAAATGGGGGTTTGGGGGAGAAAAAATGGGAAATTCGGAGAGTTCTTGATGGGTTTGGGGTGAAATCTGATGGATTTGGGGTTTCTGGATGAATTTAAGGAACTTCATGACCGGATTTGGGGTAAATCCCGGTGAATTTGGGGTAAATCCCGTGGATTTGGGGTGAATTTGGGGTGAATCCCCTGAATTTGGGGTGAATCCCGGTGAATTTGGGTTGATCCTGATGGATTTGGGGTGATCCTGGTGAATTTGGGACAAATCTCGTGGATTTGGGATAAATCCTGTAAATTTAGGGTAAATTCCAGAGAGTCTGGAGTAAATCCCAGTGAATTTGGGGTGAATTTGGGGTAAATCCCATGAATTTGGGGTAAATCCCATGAATTTGGGGTGAATTTGGGGTGAATCCGGTGGATTTGGGGTAAATCCGGTGAATTTGGGGCGGTTTTGGGGTGAATCCGGTGAATTCGGGGTGAACTTGGGGCGGATCCCACGGATTTGGGATGAATTTGGGTTAAATCCCGGCGGATTCGGGGTGGCCCGACCTGCCGGTGACCCAGAGGAA